AAAACAGTATGTGCTTTCTCAGGGATTTAATTACATAAATGCTGTCCTGTTAGGGATTTTGCAAATAAAAAGAATTCGTGTCCAATTTCAGTCCACATATTTGCATTGATTTTAGAGCTTCCATTTCATACCGGGTCCTTTCTTCAACTTGGCATTTTTCTGGCCAGAAGGCCAGGCATTGCCCAGGCAGGGTTCTCTCTTCCTCCTCCCAGAGTCCCCTCCCCTTTTCATCAGGTCAGGCAGAGTGCACTGACCCTCCCTAGAGTTGGGGTCAGCTCAGGGGCCTGCCTCTCAGCAGAATGTTTGGAATTCCTGAGCAGGGTTCTGCCCTGACTTCCTTTGCTTAAGCTTGTGGCTGACTGTTCTTCAGTTTCCCTTGTTTCCGAATATGGCATCCTGAAGTCTATAGGGCTGCTGAAATTTGAGATGCACCCTAGACTTGAGGGTTTGCAGTGATGGGCTAAAAATACTCTAACTAGAAAAAGGGAAGTCCAGGCCATCTTCTGTAAACTGGTGCCTCATTGGGAAATTGGTGCATAGAATGTGGTCTGTTTTAAGCCTGAGCAGAGTGGGCCTGTGCTGAGAGGTTCTGAATGCCCTGCTGAGAAATCTAGCCACCAGACACATAGCATGTCAGGCCACACACAGGGAAAGGAGGCTGTGGAATCCAGTGCAATCGCCACCCCACATCCTCTTGTCAGCTGCTCCCACTGGGGTTTCTCTGACGCCTCTGTAAAGCACCCAGCCCATTTTTAGTGCTGGATGTCATTTCTGATAAGCTGCTGTTGCAGACATTTTGCAGCAGCTGCAAAAGAAGTCCTGATTTAAAGACCTGTTTCTAACAGGGCTGAGGCTTGTTTACCAGGGCGGGACTGCTTCAGTCTCATCAATGGCAGCCCCACTCTTACTCTTTCCATGGAGTCCTGCACGTGCTCCGGCCCTGTCTCTGCCTGCAGTGCTCCGCATCTGTGTGTGCAGGCACTCTGGTGCGTCTGTGTCGGCCTTTGATGCATTTCTTCTCCATGTCAGTGATAACCAGTCATTGTGTTCAGCTGGGGTCTGTGTCCTTGGTGTCTGAACAAAGATTTGAGCAAGACACATACAAAGTACAGATTATTGAAGGTGGAGGTGAAAATGGCACTCCGTAAGGTACAGCAGAGTGGGCCAAGCAAGGGAGAGAGGCTCAAGGCCCAGTGTCTGGAAGTTAGTGTGTTATATGCTGAGCTGGGAGATGTTCTTTTCCCTATATGGACCTGATTAAAGACCTTGCCCCGTTTGCTCCCATTGGTTACCTTATACCTCATTAGAATATTCACCAATTTTCCCCCCACTTGTTACTTTAAAAAACCTAATTGGTGCTGAGGGTGTAGCTTAGTGGTGGAGCACTTGCCTAGCACTGGGTTCGATCCTCAGCACCACATAAAAATAAATAAATAAAATAAAGCATTGTGTTCATCCACAACTAAAAATATTTTTAAAAACACCCTAATTTAGAATATTGCCCATTTTACACTCATTGGTCATTTTAAAATGGTGGGAATTATGGTGCTAAGTCCTCAGGGGTGGGAATTGTCATGGTAATGAGACTTATCCTAAACAGGGACATGACTGGTATCCTTGTGTTGTCCTCTAGCGGTATCCTTATACCCTGCCTCCGCCATCTTGGTGTCCTGAGCTCCTGAGCAGAGGGTCCTGAGCAGAGGGTCCCCCAAGTGGAGGAAGGTTGCCAGGGAACAGCTGGCCCAGGTGGTGGCTCAACACCCAGACCTTCCGTCCCACTTGCCACTCTCAGGGTGCATGTCCACATCAATCCAGTATAGGGGAAGGAATAACTTTTTCCCTACCCTTCAGAGTGCCTAGTTGAGCACCATGTAAGACAGATTTAGAGGAGGAAAACACTTGGAGTTTAATAACACAAAGCTCGGGTACATGGGAGAGAGGTGAGTACATCTCATGGAGGTGGCTTGGACTTAAGGTTAACTACCTCTGTCCTCCAAGCCCAGGTGAGGGTGTGCAGAGAGCAGGTGTGGAGATGCACCAGGCAAGCGCAGGCAGCAAGGGCAAGGTCTACGGGGCAGCTCCTCTGGTGGTGTGGGTCTCCAGTGATGTGGTTGTCTTGCTCTTCAAGGGATGCGAGGAGGCACCCTTCCTTGGGGAGAGTTCTGTGGTGAGGTAAACTTCCCTTACAAAACTGTAACTTTGTTTTCAGAACTTCTGCCTCTGTAGCTTCTCAAAATAATCAGTATAAAAACCCTTCTGCTGAAGAGGCAGATTTGGGGGTGGCATATTCTGGTCGTCTGCAATTTGAAAGTTCCCCGAGCCCTACATTATGATGAATCCTGAACAGGGTCATCATGGCAGGAGCAGACTGAGACAGGGTTATGCAGCATGGCCGGCTGGCTGGCTTAGGCTCATCGAATGGACAGGATTGCCTCAGCCACTGGCTTCATGTGTGGGAAACCCCACCTCTGCTGCAGCACATCCATATAGAAAGGTGACATAAATGACATTCTGACATTCTATTCATTCAAGCTTTCTAAGTTTGAATGTCTGCTCCATAGGGACAGTGGGCCTGTTCACATGACACAAATAGAAGTGGCACCAGTGATCCGGATCAGCTGCACTGTCCACTTCCTTCTTTCCCGTTGTGGTTGCACCATCTTGGATAAAGTCCACATCCCTCCAGATCAGTGGTGCAGATGGCAACTGTGGCTAAAAATGGCTTCTCTTAAAGTTGTAAGAAATTCTTTGACTAGACAGATGACGGGAGATGCATTATTATAGAGACTACTCAATAACAAGTTACAGTGGTCCCGGGTGTTAATGTTCTGGGCAGCCTCGGGGTGTTGAAATTTAGCAACAGCAGATGTGGTGTAGAGTACTGCATTTATGAGACATTTTTAAATAGTTAAGATGCATTTAAAGAGTGAAATTAGAATTAAACATTTGCTGAACCTTTGGACTCTTCATAAATCTGATCTGGTTCAATCCCATAGCTGTACAAACAAGAAAGCTGAACCCCAGAGACCTCAAGGACTTGTCAAGATCACACACAGCAAATGGGACTAGCCACATTTTCAGGTCTCTTGTCCTGTGTTAAGTCCTTAACCTTCAGACTCCAGAGCGGAGGAGTCTTCTCATGTTCTGGGAGCCTTGGTGTGCTCTACTAGTCTATAGTTTAGATACGAACTGTCCTTTGAAAGCTCCTTTGTGAATGCAGGGGTGTTCAGAGGTGAAATGATTGGATTGTGAGAGCTGATCAGTCCTTCCTAATTTGAATGGGCTGCCTGGGTGGTAACTGAAGGCAGGTGGGTCACTGGGGCAACCCTAGAAGGGTGCATCTTCCCAGCACACACACACCCCACCCCTGCTTCCTGGTTACCTAAAATGGAGCAGCTTCCCTCCACTCTGCCCTCCTGCCCTGCCATGAAGGGCCTCACCATGGCCCCGGGACTGTGTGCTATGCAAGGACACTTGGATCTTTGACTTGTTTCCCAGAGCTGTCTCCTGCCTTCACTCCCACCAGGCCCAAATGAGAATTCCTGCCATTCCACACCCCATTCTCAGTTGATGATCTTGGGCCCTTTCCACAAATCCACAGGAATCAGGGCTTTGCCTTCGGAGTAGGGCCTATCCCTGTTTTCCTGTTTTCAGCCTGAGAGGTCTAGCTCACTCTCTCTCTCTCTTTTTTTTTAATATTTATTTTTTAGTTGTAGTTGGACACGATAATCTTCATTTTATTTTATTTTATATGGTGCTGAGGATCAAACCCAGGGCCTTGCACGTGCTAGGTGAGCACTCTACCGCTGAGCCACAATCCCAGCCCCGACACTCTCTCTTTTCTTAAAAAAAATATTTATTTAATAGTTGTGGTTGGACACAATACCTTGATTTCATTCACTTATTTTTTATGTGGTGCTGAGGATCGAACCCAGGGTCTCACGCCTGCGAGACGAGCGCTCTACAGCTGAGCCACAACCGCAGCCCCTAACTCACTCTCTTATGGAAGCTGGGAGTGATAGGTTCGAGGTTGCACCAGGACTGGAGCCCCAGTACCGTGCTTGGCTAAGACTAGCACCTTCCTCCCCCGCACGCCTGCTCCTCCTGAGGAGCATCCCTCCTATGCCCTCAGCCCTGTCCTGTCCTCTTGCACCATGAACAGCTCTGGCCTGGGATTGTCCCTGCTGCCTGATGTTGCCCTTTACTCGAGGGGGTGACCATCACTGCTGGGAGGTCCTGAGAACCCGACTCTGTTCTTTCCCTTCCTGCCATTTCTGTTGCGTAGACCTGTCCTTCCAATGGCAGAACCTGCACCCACAGCCCCCACGATCCAATCCCATTTTTCTCTTTTGACTTTACTTGTTAAAGTTATGCCAAGCTCCATCAGAGCAGGAGTGATGTGATACACTTGTGACTGCCTAAGGAAATTAGTTTTGTTGGGTAAGATTTGACTTGAGGAGGAGAGGCCAGGCTGGACCAACTACCGTGTTTGTGATGTACTGTATTCTGGTTATTTCTTGCTGTGAAAAAACAAAACCAAAACTTGGTGGCTCCTGAATCTACAGTTGGGGCGGGGCCTGGTGGAGCTGGGGAGGGCAGCCCACACCCTCTAAGCCAGTTGACTTTGCCAACGACCCCTCCCAGGGTGGCTCCTGTGCATGGCCGGCAGCCTGGTGCTGGCCGTGCGCTGGGAGCTCACCCGCTGCACACCACACTGCTTCTCTCCATGGGTCTCAGCACAGGGCTGCTTGGACTTCCTCAAAGCAGGACATCTGGTTCCAAGAGTGAGTGTCCTAAGGAAGTGTAATTTGCCTGCTGCTTCTTGGGCCCCAGGCACTGGCACTGCGTCACTCTGGCTGTGTCCCACTGATCACAGCTATCACAGCCCACCCAAGTTCAAGGGCAGAGAGTACCTGGAGGAGAACAAGTGTCAAAGAATCTGGGGCCCCCTCTGGTGCACACTGCTAACGGCCTCCCCTCGCCCCTTGGCTTTCTTGTAGCGCTGACTGCGGCCGCAGGAAGAGGGAAGCTGGAGGTCTGTGAGCTGCTGCTGGAGCGTGGAGCTGCCGTATCTCGGACGAACAGGAGAGGGGTCCCCCCTTTGTTTTGTGCAGCACGCCAGGGGCATTGGCAGGTACCCAGTGAGCCTCTGGATGCTTCAGAAACAATGAGTAGGGATGGGGTTCGCTATGGGGACTCATGCCACCTGTCCCCCTACCCCCAGTATGTCCCATCCTTGGCCTCTGCCCGTGTCCTCAGGGCTGCTGGATAGAAGCACACATTTGACCACACAAGACACTGAGATTAACCAGGGGAATATCCTTCCTATAATAGGCATAAGATCCATCTGTTTGTGTTTGTGGCAAGGTGCAACCTGGTGCCAGGTGTGGGGCAGGTATGTGGTCCTTGTTTACAAAATGAAGGTGTAAATGAGCAACTACTGTGCAAGACCCTTCTCCCACTCCCCACCCCTGCCTTAGAATTAGAGAGAGCCTTGAAAATGGTTCCTTTTCTAAGGAGCACAATAGAACCACTCTTTCAAGTGTGTTGGTCCAACAGGTAACCAAATGACAGGAGCTGCAGATGCACGGAAGCAATCTTTTGTGACTGTGCAGGGCCTGCTCTGTCTCTGTCAGGGGAAGGTTGAAAGCAATGGGAATGTGCCACCTTTATCACTGAGGCGAGGTGATAAATCAAGTGTCAGGGGGATCATCTGGGCCCACGGTGGATAAAGCACTTCCCTCATCATGGCATCCTGCGACATCTGCCATCCTTCTTTTCCTCCCCAGCCTTACCACCATACATGGTGTAAGGGGTTATTTCTGAGGTTAAAAGTTGCCCTTGGAGAAGGGCAAACCATCCTCCAACCCTGCATTTAGGAAAGCGTGTTGCTCGGTGTGGCAGGCCAGCTTTTTCCCAGCCCCTCCCTTGCCCCATTCTCTACTCTTGTAGGTACAGTGAGTTCCTTCAGAACCTGGGGATCTGTTTTAAGACCCCTGGAGACACCAGATTCTGAGGATGTTAAAGTCTCATATATAAAATTGCATATACTATGCAATTGCATACACCCTCCCAAGAACTTTCAGTCATCTCTAGATTGTTTATAATACCTAGTGCAATGTAAATGCTATGTAAAGTTATGATGTTGTATTGTTCAGGGGATTATGACAAGAAAAAGTCCGTATATGTTCAGGACAGGTGCAGTTGTTTTCTGAATATTTTCAGTCTGCTGTCTATGCATCCACCAGCGTGGATCCTTGGGCACAAAGGGCTGCCTCTGCTTGGCTCCAGCACCTGCTTGGGGCCCAGATGACCCTGCTAACCCCCTTAGTTATCCTCAGTCATCCTTAGTTATCTCACCTCCCCCACTGTAGCTGTCATGTCATTACTTGATTGTGATTGGCATCACTTCCTGCAAATGACTGTTTCTGCCTGGCACATGTGGTATTTGTAGATACACTAATCAACTGGGAATGTTAAAAGAGCATATATTTGGAAAAAGATTCTGTTCAAAGGAATGCAGTAGAAAGATCGTACGGTCTCCATGTACCACACAACATTCAGAAACATGGAGTTTTACAAGAAAAGTGCCATTCATCTACTTTCAAAGATTGAAGTGCCTGCTGCATAGAAAGAATGCGGCATACTATTGCAGAAAGGAGATTAATTCTGAGTGCTTCTTTCAGATCGTTAGGCTGCTGTTGGAACGCGGCTGTGATGTGAACCTGAGTGACAAGCAGGGCCGGACACCCCTCATGGTGGCTGCCTGTGAAGGGCACTTAAGCACCGTGGAATTCCTCCTTTCAAAAGGTAGCTGGCATGTTGCCCTGCGTAGATTTCCTTTGCAGGGACAGAGAGTTTCAGTAGTCCCACTCAGTACTTTTCTGCCTCCAATTTTCAGTCTTTTAGTTATGGAAATGGATCTCTCTTTGTTCTGGGAGTCTTCTCATACACACACAAGCAGAAAGAAGAGGTGGCACGGGCTGCATATCACTGCTCAGCTTCAGTGCTGACCCTTCGGCCATCAGCTTTAAAATTCGGTGCTCAAGTGACATGCTGTTCTGCCCAGCGCACCGTGTGACCGGGCACTCTGCACTGGAAGACCCTTTGCTTCTGGCCTTTGCCATGTAAGGTCCACTTTCTGTGACTGGACTTTCCTTTCAGGTGCCACCCTTTCTTCTCTGGACAAAGAGGGTCTGTCCGCGTTGAGCTGGGCTTGTCTGAAAGGCCACAGGGCAGTGGTCCAGTATCTGGTCGAAGAAGGAGCTGAGATAGACCAGACGGACAAGAACGGCCGTACTCCCCTGGACCTGGCCGCCTTCTATGGCGATGCCGAAACTGTGAGTACCCACCGGACTTTGCTCCCCTCCACCTGCAGGCCATACCAGGGGCACTGTGGGAAACAGGACCCAGAACCAAAGATGTTTCTGACATATGCCTGGGTGTGGCCTGGGTGTGTGGTGGGTGAAATTTTAATTTTCCCTTATTCTGTGATGTACAGTCCATTCCAGGACTTAGTAAATATTGTAAAGCATTTTTAAAAGCTTAGAATGACCTACTTACAACCTTGAGATACTATAGACATGCATGTGAGTATGTATACCCATGTGCATATGGAGTTTCGTTTCCTCATAGTGATCTGTGTAAATAGAATCCCTGCATTGATCCTTCAGGAAACACGTGTGAGATCATGTAGTACCTGTCTTCATATGCCTGGCCTGTTTCATTCAGTGTCACATTCTCTAGGTTTATCTATGTTGTTGCAAATGACAGGATTTCCTATTTGAGAGCAAATAATATTCCATTTTGTGCATTTATTGGTTGGTGTTTTTAAAGTAATGTGGTATTAATTGCCTAAAAATGTAAAAGGTTTTGGGCACTATCGCTATCTCTTTGCCAAATTCCTAAATCTAGTGGGGGCATAAGGGGGAAAAAAACCCTCAGTAAAGTGAGAACCAGGAGATGTCTTTCAGGGAAGAAGCTTTGTTATTGCAGGCCTCTGAGGTGCCAGAGAGTCTTCAGTGACTCTGGCCTGAGGACTCGGTGCATCTGCTGGGAGCGGGAAACCTTGTGCTGTGCAGAGGCACTGAGGTCGGGCTGGAGAGGCAGCTTGGGGCAGAGCACTTGCCTGGCATGCATGAGGCCCTGGCTTCCATCCCCGCGCACAACACACTACACACATGCACATCGTTAGAGTTCAGTGGTACGTTACAAACTGTACTTCCTGACTGTCAAAAGCAAATATTTAGTTAAATATAATTTTTAATAAGTTTTTTTTTGTTGTTGTTTTTAGTTGTAGATGTAAACTACATCTCAGTGGAGAAGTCCCACTGCTAGTTAACTGCAGGCAGAGGCGACCGTCTCCTTTCTCTGACCAGCAAGTCGGGTCAGACAGGCGGTCACACACTATGCACATGCGTGTCTCATCTGCCCATCCTCCCCGTTGTTGCAGGTAGCAAAGCCACTTCAGCAGAGAAGGCTTTAACTGTGAGCTGCAGCTCCTGTTTTTGATTGTTCATGTTAACTTCATTGCCATCCTGGGATTCCCTAATGGCCAGAGGCATCTGAAATAGGAGAAAAACTAAGATTGTCAGCCCCCAAAATTCAATAGTTTATCAACATCTGGGAGGTGGGCGAGTGGCCCAGTTCCTGCCAGGAGCTGCTTCTCAGGGTTCTGCTCTCCCCCACTGCAGGTGCTGTATCTTGTCGAGAAGGGAGCCGTGATTGAGCATGTGGACCACAGCGGAATGCGTCCCTTGGACAGAGCCATTGGTTGTCGAAACACCTCTGTCGTGGTTACACTACTCAGAAAAGGAGCCAAGTTAGGTCAGTGAACTGTGCCTCTGTTCAGCTTCAGACTTCAGAGTCCCTTAGGGAGCATGAAGCTCACCTGCTCCCAGGATGAGAAAGAGGGCACTTCCTGTCTCTCATCATTAAACATGGTTTAAGCAGCTTATGATAATCTTATGCGTGTGGGTAGAAAACAGAAGCTAAAGCTGAGGCCAGTGTGGAGTCACAGGTATTTGGGACACAATGGAGCCACATCAGGGAGGAGTTAGACTGGGCTCTAACTCTGGGGCTGGTGGAGCATCAGTAGGAACGGAAGCTTACAGGGTGATGCTGGGGAGCAGCCAAGGCTGAGGTCCTCTGTTCTACAGCAACCAGCATGGTCAGCTGGCTAGGGAGGTGGTAACCCCAGTGTGGTTTCTCTGAAGGAGAATTGGAGGGATTTCTTGGATGCATGATGGGTGCACTACTTGAACTACATATGGAGGGGCTGAGCAGGGAGAGCCCCGTCCCTAATGCTGGCTTTGACATCACACCACTGAGCCTGAGGAGGAAAGAGTAACTAAAGCATCCCTATCTTGGTTTGATGTTTAAGAACTTTGCCAAGAGCAATTCTGGGCCAAGGACTGTGATGAAAGCACCATTTGCAAATATTAAGTGGTTAATGGCACCAGGGACTCGCCTAAGCAGGGTCCCCATTTTAACTCGATTCTCCCCACAGCCCTTGAGGTGCCTAGGACTTTGCCTTCCTGCAATGCCCCAGTGCTTGGAGTAGATTGGAGAGGAGGCAGTGGCTGTGATGTAGGCCAGTGGATGGGGACAGGCCGGAGGGCTCAAACTAAGACACCTCAGAGTGGACTGTACAGAGCAGGCTGCGTGGGACTCAGAGCACCAGCCTGCCCACTGCTGGCATGATGGGTGTGTGGGGAGATTACTCTGAGGTCTGGATCAGCTGCCTCCACCTCTCAAAAGGAAGGGGTGGGTCTTAACTGCTCTGATGCCTTAGTGTCTCATTGAGTTTTTCAACAGGACAGATTGGTGCTGGCACCATTCTCCACCTGTGTGCCTAGTTCAGCATAAAATAGGTTAGAGCTCCCCCTCACCTCATGGTTGCTCGCTCCCTTTCCTCCTCCATACTGCCTTCTGGAAGCCCAAGACACAACAGTGGTTCCTGCAGTGGGGCTCCTGCTGTTTGTGTGCAACTCCTGAAAGCATGTTTGTTTTGCAGGAAATGCTGCCTGGGCGATGGCCACTTCCAAACCTGATATCTTGATTATACTTTTACAGAAATTAATGGAGGAAGGAAACATGATGTACAAAGTAAGTGGTAGCACCCTTTCTCTGCTGCAGTAACTGCCTCCAAGCAACCTTTTAGATGGATATTTATGGCCAGAGGTGTGCTTCTGCACACAGCATATGTAACTTAGTGGTAATGGAAGTTCTAAGAGATGCTAACCTGGCCTTATGCCCAGGATTTGTTTAATCTCTCAACAGCAGAATCTTAACTAGAAAGCACTTCTCTTTTGTGTCTGAGAAACATCACTTCAGAACTAATTCTTGAGGCTGAAGCTGTAACTTCCTGCCTGAAGCTGTGGAGAGTCACCTCTATCTCATCTGGCACAGCGACAGGAGGTTCCTTAGCCTTCATGTTCTCCCCACATTTGGAGCACAGCTCTGGGCACAGTATGTGACCCATGGAAAAGAACACCTGGGAGGCATTTCCAGAAGAAAATAATCATTCAGTCTCCCAAGCCTTTCCTATTATTTTATCTATTTACTTACTTTTTGCTTATGGTAGTACTAGGGATGGAACCCTTTATATTTTAGTTTGAGACAGGGTCTTACTAAATTGCCCAGGCTGACCTCAAACTTGTAATGCTCCTGCCTCTGCCTCTTGAGCTGCCACCATGCCCAGTTTTTCATAAAGATTTTTTTTTTTTTGGTAAAATGTAAAGAACCACATAGCCATATTTTAGGTTTTGCAAACCACAGTGGTACAAAACAGCTATAGATAATATGCAAGTGAAGGAATGTGGCCGTGGCCCAGTAAGAGTTCGTTTGTGAAGACAGGTGGCAGGCCAGATTTGGACAGCATGCTCTAGTTTGCCAACCCTAGGTCTAGATAGACATGGAGGCCATTTACATAGATTTCTATTCTTTTTGGACTGTAATTAGATAGAATTAAAAGATTACGAGGGAGAAAAAAATAGATTGTTACCATCTTAATCCTTTTTACTATCAGGCAGCTGTATTTGCTATGTTGTACGTTTTTTCCCTTTTTATTTTTTTAATAGTGACAAATAAATAGGCATGTAGCATGACCCAGCAGGGCTCCTGGCTTGGAATCAGTTTGAAATTGAGTTCAGAGTGTGTATTGTTGTGGCTTTGAAGTGGTTTTAATATGGATTTTGGTAGGCAATTATGTCAGAAACATCAAGCCATTTTCCACAGGCTGCGTGCCTGCTGCGCGACGGGGCTGACTGAGCAAATGGATTTCTTTAGCCTTGAAAATGATGTGGTGCTGCTCTGATTTTTAAAGCCCATGCTTTACTTCTTCCTTAAAGAGAAATTATTATTCTGCAACAAGCTCTGGGTTTATCCACAAGTCTCCACTTGCCTTGGAAACCACATCATTTTTTTCTTCTGATTTTCATTACACTTGGCCTTAAAAATATCTTCAGATGAGAGATCGTTCTTGAAATAACTTTTAATCATACTTGATAACTAAGAAGATAGTTGAATTCATTAAGATGGAAGGATATCAACTTGGCCATTTACAAACCTCTTCTTGTAAAGCCATCTTCCCCCTCGTTGTGTGACCACATGTCATGGAGGCCAGTGTGGATAAGGAGCTCGAGCATGTTTGGGCTGGTTAGTGTCCTAGCTTCTGCCCTGGCACCTATTCACCTTTCCATGGGCTGGGATGGTTTTACATGGAGGTCTCTAGGGGGTGAGAGTTTATTCTTAAAAAGGAAAAATTCCTGTGATTTTTTTTTTTTTTGAATCCTAGAAAGGGAAGATGAAGGAGGCAGCCCAGCGGTACCAGTACGCCTTAAGAAAGTTTCCTCGAGAAGGATTTGGAGAGGACATGAGACCTTTCAATGAACTAAGAGTTTCCCTTTATCTCAATTTGTCTCGATGCCGAAGAAAAACAAACGTAAGCTGAGGCCGTTATTCTAACCCAGACCTTTGGTGGTAGAACTCACATGGCAAAGGCCAGCCCTGCCACAGACCAAATCCCAGGTCTGGATCTGCTCTCTGAGTGATGTCCTTCCTTATAGGAACCTGTCCTGTAGGAAGCAGCACTGTCTGCTCTCTGACGACCACCTGTAGGTCACAGTCACTACCCATCTCTCCATATGGCAAGGGAATGCACTGGGCTTAGTTTCCTCTGCTCCCTTGAGAGAAGCAAATGCAAACCCCTCCTCTCCCCGCTTCCCAGCAGGGACACTGCCAACACTGCCACCAGTTGCCCACCCCCAGATTCAGAAAAAAGGTCCCAACACAAAAGTCTATAAAGTCTGCCTGTCTAAGGTTCCTTAGGTTTGCATAGGGAGCTTGCCAGTGACTAATTTATAACTAATTGTGGTTCACTCATGGTTAATTTGTAACTAGTAGATGTTTCAGTACTTTTTTTTTTAACTTCACCACCCCCGCCCCCTGCCCTTGCCCCCATCAGACCTGCTTGTTCCCACATTGTCACCTTCCTACTGAAGCAGACACACCTCTACCAGTGCTGATCTGCACCCCTGGCTCTACTGCTGATCTCCCTCCTGAGCCATCAGTTGCTGGATTCCTGAGCATAGTAATGGCCTGTTATTGTCTAACCTACTCTCAAACAAGACAAATGGGAAAACTAATCTTGTCCTTCATCCCCCTCTAGTTATGTCCCAAAACTCTGCCACCCTTTAGCTCAGTTCCTATGAAAGAGTTGCCTGTAATTGTTTCAGTGCTGCGTCTGACTTGTGTATTTAAATATTGACACCAGGACTTTGGCATGGCAGAAGAATTTGCTTCCAAGGCTCTGGAATTGAAACCCAAGTCCTATGAAGCCTTTTATGCTAGAGCAAGAGCGAAGAGAAATAGCAGGTACTGTCTGGGGTCACCTGTCCGACTACAGGAGCCTTTCCCCCCTGCCTTTGGAATTAAAGTTACTAGTTGAATTTGAGGAAGTTTTGCTTTATTATGGTTACTCAGATGCCTCTTGTCCCTTTGAATACTAAATTAGCATCTTCCAAGAGGCAAGGTAGTGGGTGTTACTGGTGATGGCTAAACTCCTGTTGGCTCCCAAAATCTCAGTAACTATTCCAACCCATTTGAGACTCACTGCAACACTGAGCACTGGAGTGAGTCCGTGTTTTAGGGAGGCGGCCAACCAGGGGCAGGGAGGGGAGGGAAGTGTTGTACATTCCTTCTGAGAGGTGGACATAGTGAGGGGCCAGTGGAGGTAATGTGGCGTCCACTGAGTTGCACCTACATAAGCCACACAAATCTGGGTTAGCTGAGTAACTGTGGGCTAAACAGGACCTGTTGCATGGTAAGTGGTCAGACCTCATGAAGCTACCTTTTTCTTCCTGTGAGCACAGCTACTTTATGAACAGTTATAAACAGACCATGTTCATACATGGCCTATGACCATATCTTATGTCTTCATATAAAGGCAGTTCGTGGCAGCTCTGGCTGACTTGCAGGAGGCTGTGAAACTCTGTCCCACCAATCAGGAAATCAAGAGGCTCCTGGCCCGTGTAGAAGAGGAGTGCAAGCAACTCCAGAGGAACCAGCAGCAGAAACAGCAGTGCTCCCCTCCAGCTGCACCCGGTGCCTCCGATAATGAAGATAATGAGGAGGACACCCTAACCCCTGGGTTAAAGGACCACTTTCACTTCGATGAGGCCGAAGAGGAGGAAACTTCTCCACAGGAAGAATCCATTTCCCCGACTCCCAGGTGCCAGCAGCCATCCTCGTCTGCCCCTTCCCCGTATATCCGAAACCTTCAAGAAGGGTTACAATCCAAAGGCAGGCCAGTATCACCACAGAGCAGGGCAGGAGTCAGCAAGTCCCTAAGGGAGACTGTCGCTCAGCCGGGGTTGGTTATGCAGCCCACCAAACAGGCACAGATAGTGAAAACAAACCAACACCTGGGTTCTGGCCAGTCTGGCATCAGAAACAGTAGTACAAAAATGCAGGTCTCTTGTCAGAATCCTCCTCCAAGCCCCATGCCAGGCAGGATCCCTGCAGCTCCTGCTGGGAGCAGAAACCAGCATGTAGAGGGAGCAGGTACCTTTACTGTTGGAGCTGGTTCTAGCCACTTTGGGGATCAGCTGGGCCCCAGCCAGAATGTCCAGCTGCAGCGCAGTGAAAGTGGTGCTGCATATGCTCTGCCAAGCAAGGCGAAAACTGCCGAGAGGCTCCTGTCCCATGCCTCTGTGGCTGTGGATGTAGCCCCTCCAAGCCAGGGCGGACCAGTGGGCTGCGGCGAAGCACGACACCCAGCTTCCCTCACCAGCTCAGGCTCCTCTGGTTCTCCATCTAGCAGTATAAAGATGTCAAGTTCAACCAGTAGTTTGACTTCAAGCAGTAGTTTTTCAGATGGCTTCAAGGTCCAAGGACCAGATGCTCGAATTAAAGACAAGGTTGTGAGCCAGGTGCAGAGCAGCGCCACTGAGCATAGGCCCCGCAGTACTCCATTCATGGGGATCATGGACAAGACGGCAAGGTTCCAACAGCAGAGCAACCCTTCAAACCGCACCTGGCACTGCCAGGTGGCAGAGGGGCTACTGACGGGCACATCCCCCGCTGCAGCTGGCCTGCAGTGCTCTAACTCTGAGAAGCCCTCTCTCAAAAAAGGAGGATATACCAGCCAAGCCAAAACCTGTTCTGCCTCCACCCTGAGTGGCAATGTCCACAATGGGGCCCAGGTAAAGGAGCTAGAAGAAAACAAGTGCCAAATTCCAGTCCACCGCCAAGACACGAGAGTAACTAAGAGCGTTTCTCATCTTTACCCAGAAAGTATCTCCAAGCCACCACCTCATGTCAGTAATGAAGCCCACAGGAGCCACCTCACTACAGCGAAACCAAAGCGATCATTCATAGAGTCAAATGTGTGAGCCTAAAGAGACTCATTTGTAGGATTTGGAAAAGTGTGTTGGCTCCTTGTGGTAAATAATTAAATGGTTTTTCATCATAAAAATCACTTTTTAGCCATGTTTTTTTCTTTTTTTCCCATCTAGGGTGGATCAGATGCAATTGATATATTAAAAATATAGAATAAAACTTTAATAAGTCACTAGAAGTCACCATAATAACGCTAAATAGAACTGAAAACTACAGTTAGCTTTACCCATCAAGTTAAAAATTTAAGACAGTAAAGAAGATGTCAACTTTTCTTAGGAAAATTATTTGATTTTTATCACTTTCCTCCTAGCCTTTGCTATGTGGTAAAATCATGGTACTTAACAATGGCCTTTTTTTTTTTTTTTTAACAAAAGGTTTAACTCATCATATAATATCCTAATGACATATTCTAGAAAAGATGGAATTTTCAAGTTACAGTTCCATTGAGTCAAATTCCAATTTTATTTTTACATGTATATACAATTAAAACCTGAGTGATTTCTAGCTGAATGTGTGTGACTATAAATATAGCTTATATTTTCTTTTTTGTTCTTTAAGCAAAACATGAAAGCATCCAAGTATTGTTCCCTTTATAAAAGAAGTTCTTTTAAGAGGATTAAACACTTATTCCCACGTTACGGTTCTTAATCAAAATACTTTTATAGCACCTTTTTTGAAACAATATTCATGCTTCAAGGTGTTCTAATATGTGGAAACAGTCTAAGCTCTCTGGAACCTTGATTGGTTGTCCTAAATTGGATTTGAGCTAAAATACTAAGAGCAGCATTCTTAGTAGCTAATAGATTCGGTCTCAACTGGTTCCAAACTGCTCTTATCAGTGCTAATGTTCCTTAAAAAAAACCTTCCATCATCCCTTAAGGACAGTGTTTAAGTTGGATATTTAAGGTATGGTTGGTTGTTGCTTTTGTTATACAATCATTACTTCATAGTCACATGTTGTATATATTAAATAGCCCAGCCTTATTTGAACTTGTAAATATAACTAAGTAGTTAATCTAAAACCAGAAGCAAACAATAAAACCCCAGTCATGTATTTGCATGTTCTTTGTAAATTTCATCCACGCTGGTTATTGCACTGAATGATGTATTATTATGGCATGTTAACAGTATATCAGTAACGGCACTTTATCTCATTTATATAAGAACACCTTCGAGGTGCTACTTAAGTCCAAACTGATGTATTATGCATTTGTAAAGACAAGGTACAAGAATGAACCTTGGTTCAAAGGTATTTTTATATGAAATTGTGTGCTATTGGAGGATGTTAAGATACTAGGTTAAGAGAGGTGGAAGTATATTTGTTTTATATGTTGGGATGTGAAATTTATTTTCTAGAATTGGGGAAAAGGAAGTTCTATATTTGCAGAATGTTTTAAAAATGAATAGTTAGGAAGTTCCTGTGAACATCTTTAGGGTTTTGTATGAATAGGAACTTCCTAGTGTCATTCTTCAACATTTGTTCCTGCGTGTGTGTACAGTGTGCTTTGTATAAACAGCTTTATCATTTTTATAGGCTTTCCATGAGTTCTTCTATAACTACTATAGCTTATTTATTGTTTATTATTTTCTTTAATATTTGTGAAAGTCTTACTCTTTTGTTATGTAGTTTTGTTTCTGCACAACTACTGTACTTTTCCATAAGGAATAAAGGCCATTACTAGACTTGGGTTGGCATTCAGTGACTTACTGGGTAAATAGAGCACAACAGCTCCTGCCTTGTTTTAACCTCTGCATTTCACTCTTTGCTTTGGGGTAGTACTTTTCTATACAAATACTACCAAATACATATTAAATTTCATTTTATAATTTTAGAATAAAGGTAGCAGCTTCTAGAAATTCCAAAATATTCAAGGGTCAGAGCTAGTTTTTTTGTCTGAAATAGAAAGCATGAGGAAAAGCAATCTGTATTAGTTGTCTGTTTTTGTTGGCGACAGGAGAGCTTTAATATTTTAACTCTCGGGCACTTTGGCAATACACTGAACATTGTTATGACAGTTTGTTCTTTAACACATTTGTGGTATCTTTGTTCAATGTTTGTATTTGTCTTTATAACCACATATTTCAGTTTCAAAGGAGTGAATCAGAGTGAATGGTAAGCTGTTTTATCATCATAAAATTCTAAGTTGGAATCTTAAGCCTAATATTATTTTAGGTTATTGTCTGGTAACTAGTATTGCTAGAAACCTAAGTATGTTCAGTTTTTCAAAGCTATAGAAAGTTTAAAAACAAAACTGGGGTTGCAGTTGTAGCTCAGTGGTAGAGTTCTTGCCTAGCATGTCCGAGGCATTGGGTTTAATCCAATCCACCACATAAAAAAATAAAGGTATTGTGTCCATCTTCCATTTAAAAATATATATTTTATAAAAAACTGGATAATACATAATTCTTGTCCTTGGGTACTTGGGCAGGCTTGTCTTTTCCTGTAAAGCAGTCAGTGTGTTAGTAAAATTAGTAATGCATTAAATTATGATTTTGATTTAGTCTTAGTAAAAGAGGACACTGGGTCAGTTACCCCAAGTGAAATTCCATTAGGAAGCTGTGGGTCACAGGGCACTAGCGCTGGTTCCACATAGTCCTGAACCAACATTGGGGCCTGGAAAGTCCATTGAGTGAACACCAGTCAGGATGGTGGTGGTGGTGTATTAAATACCCCAGAGTACTATGTAAAAATGCCATTGTATAATTACCCTGCAAGAACTTCTAAAAAGTCTGAATTTTAAAAGGAGGCTAGTTAGCCCCTTTGTATACTATGCAAAGTCAAATTGACTTATTCATGGTAATTTATTTTATCTAACTTGTATCTGGGTTTGAATAAAAATCCTTAGTATCCTACAAATTGAGTCCAACAAAGTTGCTTATTAAATGTCTGAAGTGATTTTCTCAATTATAAGTAATTTATAATTATTTTTTTATAAATCCTCAAGTTATCAAACAAATGGCTATTAACTAGGATATAACCATCTGTTATATAGCATTCTGATCTTTAGTTGTAAAGTGATATGACCCATACCTAACCAGAATAAATTTAAAGCACTCCAATTTAAAGTCAAAGTAAAGTTTTATTTTTTGCATTAGTACAAAAAAGATGTATAATTAAGTCCATGAATTTTAAAGAATGAAAATTGAAGATTTTTATAACTAAATTTATTTTTCCTTCTGTTTTGCTTTTAATAATGCTTGCTTAGTATTTAATTCAAATGAGATCACTGAAAATATAAATAATACAACATAACAATTTATTTATTTTTGCAGTATTGGGGATCAAACCCATGGCTTTGCACGTGCTAGGAGTGCTCTGCCACTGAGGTACATTCCCAGACCCTTTTAAAATTTTTTGAACAAGATCTCGCTAAACTGCTGTGACTGGCTTCAAACTTGGATTCCTCTTGCCTCAGTCCCCTGAGTCGCTGGGATTTCAGGCATGAACCAACGTCAGCTAATAGTTTTATTTTTGATGTGTCTCCAGCCATCGATTGATGGCCATTTTCAGAGTCCTATTTGGTGTAAGAACCACTGAAGGAAGAACCAGATTTGTCATTGGACTTGTACGCTTCTTTTTGCTGATCCAATTTTCCATTGCTTCCTTTTCATATGAATAGCCATCTTGAAAAACAAAAAGGTATACAAATTATTTGAAACGTAGGAAAGTAGATAAAGTTTCTAAAATGAACTGAGTATAAAAACTCATTGCCAAGGCCTCATTGGGTTTTAAATGATATTCCTGTCATGCTTGGACTGCTATACCAACGTAATCCCTGCCACAACTGAAATTCTAGTGTTTTACATGCATTAAGATTGGATTATGCTCTGTCACACACAGTCACCTAGAACAGTATCATTATAAACTCATAGTGCTTTATATGGTTCCTTTTGAACACTGCAACTGAGACCAGGATCCTGTCAAAAATTCAGTCATAGTGGAAAAAAAAAGAAATGGAAAGAGCTAAGTAGAGTAGTAGTAAAGAAACATTTGGCTAAAAATGAGAAGGAAAAGATTCTTAAGAATAACTAAGCTGAACTTTCTTCCATACTGAAAAGTCAGAGGAACATCTAGAGACACAGAACTTGCCCTACTCAGAACTTGACAGTAAAGAGATTTAAAATTCCCACCACCAAAAAAAAAAAAAAAAAATTCACTTTTTAATTCTGTCTTCTTGCAAACTTATTTGCCTTTACATGTGTCAAAATTGGAGTTTTTTGCTTCATTACTTTCATTTTTATATTTGTAGTTCTTTTTCTGAGGCTGACACTCTTTCCCATCTATTTGCTTTGAAATAATGGCAGTATATTACTATTTTTAAGTGTGAAATTTAAGATTTCTTTGATTCTATCATCAGGTTAAGTCCCCAGTCTAACTGAAGTACTGTGCTTGAAAATTGTTTACATGTTTTAGAAGTAAAAACTATTAAACATTCAGGAATCTTCTCTCTCCTGTCCAGTCCTATTCCTCCCTTCACATAGGTAACTATGTATATCAGTTATTGTATAAGCAAATGCAAATGCATACATTCTGCATAAAAGCTAGCATATACTCATTTGCACCATGGTATGTTCTTTTAAAAATGTTCTCCCCATTCCACCGTACTCTCCTGTACATCTGGATGGTTTCTGTTTTTTTCTTTTTATAACAGTGCTGCAGTGAACAGTCTTGAGCATGTCACTTGTATTTTTGATAATGCATTTGGGGGCGATTCCAAGAAGTTGGAGCATATTTATGTAATTTTACTAGACAGTGTCGATTTCCTTCCTAGTAGCAATGTTTATGAGAATGTCCACATGCTGTATGTCTGATGCTACAGCATCAACAGAACGTGATGTCTTATCTCATAATGTTATCAATCTTTAGGGGAGCAATGGAAGAATGGTAGGAATTTTTCTGCATGTTTGAGGCACTGGTTTTCTTTTTCCTATGAACTATAAACATTTTTGCCTATTATTCTTGTAATTGTCCTTAGGAGAAAAAAATTCTATTCAGGAGAGTTTTCCCCATTCCATCAAGGAACTTACCTACACTTTTCTTCTGGGACTGGAAAAATTTTGTTTATGTTTAGATTTCTGACCTATCTGGAATTAATTTATATGTGCAGTAGGAGAAATACAATTTTATCTTTTCCCACACAACTGTTCAATTGTCAGAATACTGTGGATTTAAAAATACTATCACTCACTAAATTTCCCAACTCACTTGCATCAACATCTGAATTTTTAAGAATTATTTTCCATTGGTTTATTTATGTGCCAATGATACAATACTTTTAGATTTTATAACATGTTCTAATAACCTAATAAGACTACCTTTCTTATTGTTCTTTTCTAGGTTTTTTGTTTTTGCTGTTCTTATTCTTTCAAGTGAAATCTAACACTCACCCTCAGTATTGCTGGGAAAAAATGTTTATAAGGATGTTAAATTTGTAAAATGAAACAAATATCTTGTTGAGTCCTATCATCTTTGTATCCAAGTATATTTTTTAGGGACGATCTGTAGTTTTCTTTATAGATCTGATAATTTTTGCATATTATGTCTAGAAGGTTTTTTTTAGAGATACATGACAGTACAGTGTATTCTGACATTATATGTACATGGAGTACAACTTATTCTAATCAGTATTCCATTCTTGTGGTTGAACATGTGGAGTTACAATGGTTGTGTATTCATGTATGAGCATAGGAAAGTCATATCCAATTCATTCTACTGTCTTTCTTATTTCCATCCCCCTTCCCTTCATTCCCCTTTGTCTAATGCAATGAACTTCTGTTCTTTCCTCCCTACCCTCTTTCTTGTGGGTTAGCATCCACATTCCAGAGAGAACATTTGGCCTTTGGTTTTTTGGGATTGGCTTATTTCATTTAGGAATGTAGTCTCTAGTTCCATCCACTTGCCAGCAAATGCCATAATTTTGTTGTTCTTTATGGCATGGTAATATTCCACTGTGTATATATGCCACGTTTTCTTTATCCAATCATCTGTTGAAGGGCACCTTGGTTGGTTCCATAGCTTAGTTATCGTGAATTGAGCTGCTATAAACATTGAAATGGCTGCATCACTACTGCAGTATGCTGATTTTAAGTCCTTTGGGTATGTACCAAGAAGTAGGATAACTGGGTCAAATGGTGGTTCCGTTCCAAGTTACTGAGGAGCCTCCATACTGCTTTCCACAGTGGTTGCACCAATTTGCAATCCCACCAGCAATGTATGAGTGGACCTTTTCCCCCATAACCTCGCCAACATTTGATATTTGCCATTGATAATTCAATGATATTTGATAACTGCCATTCTGATTAGAGTGAGATGAAGTCTCAGTGTAGTTTTAATTTGCATTTCTCTAATTGCTAGAGTGTTGAACATTTTTTTCATATATTTGTTGACTGATAGTTACTTCATCCATAAAGTGCCTGTTTAGTTCCTTTGCCCATTTGATTAATTGGGTTTTGTTTTTTTTTTTTTTTTTTTTTTTTTTTGTGGTGGTGCTTGGGATTTGAACCCAGGGCCTTGTGCATACAACGCAAGCATTCTATCAACTGAGCTATATTCCCAGCCCTGATGTTAAATTTTTTGAGTTCTTTATATATCCTAGAGATTAATGCTCTGAGATGCAGGTGGCAAAGATTTTCTCCCATTCTGTAGGCTCTCCATATTCTTGTTTCCTTTGCTGTGAAGAAGC